GGTGCCCTCGGGCGCCGGACGCCGCCTGCGGTTGGGACGCTGCGCCCGGGTCCAGCTCCCGGGCGCTGGAGAGCTGGGGTCTCTGTGGCGGAGATGGGGGGTGTTGGGTCCTGCAGAGCTCCTTGCTTTCCGCCGAGCTCTGGGCGTTTCTGGGCTCCCGCTTTCGCTGCCTGAAGCAAGCGGGTCGCTGAGGGTCTCACTCCAGCAGCGCCGAGCCGCGTTTGGAAAACGCAGTCAGGGAGAAAAGTGCTCACTCCCGGGATCCGGGCAGCCCGGTATCGGCGGGAAGGGAATGGGGACCTCATGCTGCTTAACAAGAAGAGAGGTCCGGAGGTCTCGGAGCCCCATGCCCTTTGGTTCCTGAAATTCTACCTTGACATCCTAACCTGAACGCCTACCTTTTTCCAGCCGACCCCCCTGGCATGTCCACATTATTCGTTCTTGCGTTCCCAAAGCTGCACACGTTGGGCTTTGTTGAAACAGCTTTATTTTGGCTCCCCAAGCTCAGTTACACCCGTACGTGGGCGCAGAATGAGACCCGTGGACCCCCTCTAAGGGTGTTAGGCGGATGGTTTTCGGGGTGTCTGAGACGCGACAGCTCTCGGGGCCCAGCTCCCCTGTACAGGGCATCGTGGCTTCCCATAGTTTAGGAATTAAGACAGTGTATAGGTCTGACCTGAAACAGGTCTATACAACATTAAATAGGAGAAATATTTAAACGAAGCTGTTAGAAACCACACTAGAAAATGATCTAAGCCATATGATCTCCCATGAGAGTCTTTAACAACAGTGATTCTACTTCTTTTAGGAGAGTGGAGTTTGGAAAGGGTGGAAGCATGAAGATTAATAATTAAGTATAGGGCTTCGAAGTTAAAGCTGGATTTGTGTCCATACAACTGTTAATGTTTTTCCGAGACAATGAAAGCCAGATGAACTCACTGGGTTTACCATTGATTTTGGGCATTCTGTACATCACATGTTTTATGGCCTATTGTGAGCACATATTTTCTTTACACTCTCATTGCACAAGGAAACAGCATTCTCACCCCTGACTCCTGCTGAATGCTTATGATATAATGGAGCTTGACTGTAAACTAATGAGCTTGTGAAAGATATATTGTTTCTCTAGCCCAGCTCTTTCAAAAAGCCAGTTTAATTGCATAAATGAAAACTGGCAAAAATAGGAAGTGTTTTGGGATTTTTTTTATAGGAAGCTGGCAAAACTCTTTAAAGAAACAATATATTTGATTTAGGTGGAATTTCTGTTGGATGACTGGATGTGCTCAGTCCTGTTTCTGTGGAATCCAGTTAATTCTCCTTTATTTCCTTCTGGCCTTTATACTCCATTTTGGGTTTGGAGATTTTAGTTAATAGTAAAACCACTGTTGAAATTAACAATGCTTCATTAGACGTAGCTTGGGAAACTAGAAAGAGTTCTACTTAGTAGGTTAAATTGTACATTTAAAAAATTCTTCAGAATAACTGGGGGGAATATAGGTTTGAGTGTTTACCTTATTGAACGTATTGATTCATATATGTATATGACCTTGAATCTTTTCCTCGTACTTTTTCCCTCAGATTTTAGATCTTCAATTCATAGCAAACATCTAGGTGTTTGTGGTGAAGTAATACAGACGCTCCATATGCATTTAAAGGTGGCTGATATTTCTCTTCAAGTTGCTTTTTCAGTTACTGAAGACCAAAGGGGGAAAATCATTGAAAAGACTGATGGCAGTTTGCAGTTTCTAAGTTCTTGGTTCTCCTCACTAATGATGAAGAAGCGTGTGGGTTAGTAAGCAGCCAAAGATTCTCTGTTCCCATCTATTTCTCCACCGATAGGGCAGTAGTTTGGTTTTGGATTCTCTCTTCTGATTGCCTTTCTTTGCTGATGGCCTTGTATTTCAGCCTCTGGTTTGTGAATTGAGAAGGCTGTACTCTGGTTTATAGCTCTGAACCCCATGAACATGAAGATTAAGGAGTATCCTTTTATATTTTAAATTGGTAGTATTTTCAGACGCTTGTTGCATGAAATTGACACACAAGGCCAATCTGGAGACTTCACTCTTCACATTCACCAAAGGCCTGAGCTATCTGCTGAGTTGGGGTACAAGGCGAATACATACTTAAGTTTCAGAAGAACTTGTGCCAGACAGGTCAGCAGTTAAGTGACTTGACCTTTCAGAATAGAAAATAACTTTTTTAAGGAATACTATAATGAAAGATATTTAAACTTAGAAAAGAATGAGAAAGAAGAAATATATGGTCTTGGCTGTGGTTTTATCTAGAAGTGTAGATTGCTGATCAGTTTTGTTCAGAGAATAAGGCAGTAAACAACATTCACGGAGGGCTGTGTGTCGGGTGGTGTTTGTGGCACTTGGATGCACAGTTAGTTCATTTAGTGTCCACAAGAGGTGAATTTATTTATTTATTTTTGTTTTACAAAAGAGTAGACTAAGATTTGGAGAGGGGTAAGAGACTTTTCGAAGCTTATCTAGCTGAGGAGTGAGTGGGGATATGAACCCAGGCAGTGTAACTCTGAGCCCACTATGTATCAGACAGGCCTGGCTGTAACACTGCAGGGTCCCTCCTAAGAGAACAAAGGTAGGCCGATTCTTCAAACTGAGAAGAATTGAGAATTCTCAATTGTTCAAACTTAATGAAATAAGCTCATTGGCATTTATGTAATTCTGTTCAACTCACTTACCTTGATAGCTGTATCTTTAAGTGACCTTGAAGGTTAGGTTTGAGTTTTGAACTCTCCGCATTCTCTGAGTTGGAAGGCAGCTGGGTGAATCTGCCCCTGGGACAAGTGTTTTCCTTTTGGTTCCCAGCCCTGTACATTCCCACCTGTTGGAGGCTATTGTGTCCACTTGGCATGGCAAATCTTTGTACATATTTTCTGCACTCTTTGACCGTATTCCTCTGGCTCACGCTGATCTGGGAGTATAGTGTTCATGTCCTAGAAGCTTCTTGGTATCTGATGAGGGATGTGGAGCATGCTTATAACCAGGTGGAAGGACACTGGTTCCAGGTCAGTAGATCTACTTGGTCCCAGGAAATCTTCCGGAAGACAGGATGTGGTAGGAGTGGACCCAAGGCTGTGATCCCTCTTATCTACACTCAGGGTGATACTGTTGAATATTACTCACACAGCCTTTTAGATACATGGATAAATGGCTTGTTAAATTCTAAAATATATGTTCATAGTTCTTTTTCATTTCATATTCTTGTGGGAAAGCTTGTACAGATAG